ATCCCCCACGTGGCACAGCTGCAAGTTTTCCGCCAGCTGGACCAGATTGGCTTCTTTGCTGTCCCTCTTCATTGCCCCACGTTCGATGCTGGAGTGTCTCCACGGTGTCATGCCATCGGGAAAGAGTGGAGAGGGCTGTGCTCACAGTGAGAAAGGGTGTCCTTGCCATTGTCCAAGCCCCCTTTCCTGGCAGGCTAGCTCCAGCCTCAGGGGACAGCCCCCAGACCACCCACTTGTTGGGGAAGTCAGTGGAGAATGGGAGTGTCCTTGGTTCAGAATGTGTCTGCCAAGCGACAGCACCTCAAGCATCCATTCCCTGGCTGTCCTAGGCCTTTTTCTTCCATCCTCACCCCAGGGAGGGAAGCTGAACTGGCCAGAGTGAATGAAAACCCTCTGGCCTCAGTGCCTCACTGCTGGGTGAAGATGGGCATCTGAGCACAAAGTCTTGTCCCTTCAAAACATGGCCAGTCTCTACTGCTCCTTGCTGTGGTCTAGCTGCTACGTCTAGAACCCTAAGGTTACCCACCCTCCCTGGTTTTAAGGCTGAGAGTTAGCTCATTTCTCATTTGTAACCTGTACCCCATCTTCCTCTCTCCTTCCTCTTGAATCCCAGAGGGCTTATCAGGTGGGGAGCCAGGGAAGTTTCTCTGGCTTTGTCTCCTTTCTGTTGCTTTGTTTCAAAGCTAGAATGGGGCCATCAGCCCCTTTCCCTTCACTCCACCTATCTGGCCTGAACAATCACTTTACAAGCTTCCCTGTATTGAAACGTGTTCACCTCTACCTCCCTCTTTGCCATCTCTCATTTCCATCTCTCTCCTGCTCTGCCAGCGTGAAGAGTGAGAGAGGCTTTCAAAATGCAGGCTCCGCCCAGATGAAATGGAAAGGCCCGGTGGGACCAGTAGGTCAAACCTGGGCCTGTTGGGCTCGCTCAGTGTGCGGTTGGAGATGGTTACTTCTGGAGGGTCTGAGGAGCGTGGTGGGTGCACACAGAGTGCTCTCATCCACCCGGTTGGGTGGTACGTGTAAAGACGTGTGCACGTGGGAAATCATGAAAAAAATCCAACACTGTGTCCCACAAAAGGTTGAGTTTGCTGCTCATGGGAGGCAGGCAAGACTGGTGTTATGGGTCGTGTTAGAAGAATATGAGTTGTCTTGGTTTTCCCAGAATGAGGAAGCTCCTCAATGCCCCCATAGAAACTACGTTGAAAAGTTAATAATGCAAATTTTTGAAAGAAAGGAAGGAAGGAAAAAAAAAAAACAAGAAAGAAAGTAGATTTATATGCCTATATGTGACTACATGGAGCCTTGTAGATAAATACAAGCCCACTTTTTTTTTCAGCCTATCCTCCCCCACAGAGACTGTGCCAGTTGTGAATCAAATTCATTGAGGGGCTGAAACCACATGCTTCAGCTCGGAGTTCTGGTCAACTGGGAGGAACAAGTCTTCCCACTGTTGAGTGTGTATTAATTTCCAAAAGTTTGCACAGGGAAATGTGCACACGTATGTAAAACTTATGTATCTGCTTGGGAAAAATCTATCTATCTAATATCACTCGGTTGTTAATTTGTTTTGTTTTGAGGGGAGTGGAATGCCTTTTAGCTTTTATAAATTTGGGGGAGAGAACATATAGGGGGGCCAGCAGAGGAAGGAGGGTTCGAGCCGCCCACATTGCTGGTTGCAGGAGGAGCTGGACCCGGGAGAGGCGCTGACACCTTTTGTCTTTGCCTTGCTCCCTTTGTGACCAACCAAACTGGGAAAGCTCCAAGTGTGTCATCAAATACTTCTTCTTGGGCCCAAACTCTAGCGCCCAAACGTCTCCCCAGCTCGGGCCAGGGTTGCATACGAAAGGTGGGACCAGCCGTGAGGCCTGGGATCTTTCCTTCCTGCCCACATTCTCCCTTCCTTTCCTAACTCTGTTCAACTTTCCCTCTCTTGTACACATATGCCTTCTTCCCTTCTCTTCCTCTTGTTCGTCCTCTCTTCCCTTCCCTATTCATTCAACTTGCCTCAAAAAGAAAACCATTTAAAAGGGGGGGGATCTCCTTAACTTTTTTCATCTCCATTGTTGCCGTTTTCAAAGTTGAGACCTTGCTAGAGATTCTGAGGTCCTCAGTTTCCTCAATTAGACAGATATATGTATGTTTTCCCCTTAAATGAGATGAAATGAGTGGCGTCCTGGGGTGGAGGGAGGCACTGGCTGGAGTTGGGGCTGGGGGTGGGGTGGGGTGAGGGGAGGAGGAGGAGGAGGGGACGCATCACTCAACGTTGCTGCTGTCGAAGGTGTGGCACTGGAAGTCCCCCTCGACATACTCCATGCTTGGCAGCTTCATCCCGTACTTGTCCACGCACCAGCAGATGCCACGCTTGCGGCCACGGGAAGGCTTGCACTGGGGGTGCGGACAGGGACAGGCAGTGAGGATGGCTGTGCCCGCAGGAGGCTGCACCCTCTCCTGTCCCTTCGTCTTCCCGCCCCAAGACAGACTTTCACCCCCAGAGTTGAGGGGGCTGTACCCCTCCCCGGGGAGGGTCTGGGGAAATGATAGTTTAGGCAGTCTGACCTATAACCTCAGTTTTATGTGACCCTTTTAGGATCCTCCAACTTGGTATTCTCCAGAGACCTACATGGACTGATGATATGATACTGATGATGGTGATGATAATTAATAATAGTGATAATGTTAATAGGAGGTATCACTTCTGCAGGTTTTTACCATGTACCAGCACTGCTATTTAACACTTACTACATAGTAGGTACTGTTCTAAGTGCTTTACAGAGATTAATCCATTATTTCTCATAATCCTGTGAAAATAATAAGCACAACCATTCTCCATTTACATGAGGAACCGGAGGCAGAGATTTAAAAAATAACTGGAGGGCCGAAACCGGTTTGGCTCAGTGGATAGAGCGTCGGCCTGCGGACTGAAGGGTCCCAGGTTCGATTCTGGTCAAGGGCATGTGCCTTGGTTGCGGGCATATCCCCAGTGGGAGATGTGCAGGAGGCAGCTGATCAATGTTTCTCTCTCATCGATGTTTCTAACTATCTCTCTCCCTTCCTCTCTGTAAAAAAAATCAATAAAAAATATTAAAAAAAAAAAAAAAGCCCTGACTGGTTGGGCTCAGTGGATAGAGCGTGGGCCTGCGGACTGAAAGGTCCCAGGTTCGATTCCAGTCAAGGGCATGTACCTTGGTTGTGGGCACATCCCCAGTGAGGTGTGTGCAGGGGGCGCTGATCGATGTTCCTCTCTCATTGATGTTTCTAACTCTCTATCCCTCTCCCTTACTCTCTGTAAAAAATCAATAAAATATGTGTTAAAAAAAAATAACTGGAGTAAGAGGACACAGTTAGTGAGTGGGACAGCCAAGAACGGACTCAAGGTTGCCTGGCCCCTGACCCCTCACTTAGATGAGGGTACGCTTAGAGCATCAGGGTCGCACGTGAGGGAACTTGTTAGAAAAGCAAAGTTCTCAGAGTCTATCCAGACCCACTGATCAGACACTGGGGAGTGGGGGGGGGGGGGTGGGTCATTCATTAGTGTTTTATCAAACCTGCCCGGTGATGCTGATGCACAAGGAAGGCTGAGCACTGTTGCCTTAAGGGAATGCGGACCCAATTTAATACGCTAAGCACAGCCGAAACCGGTTTGGCTCAGTGGATAGAGCGTCGGCCTGCGGACTGAAAGGTCCCAGGTTCGATTCCGGTCAAGGGCATGTACCTGGGTTGCGGGCACATCCCCAGTGGGAGATGTGCAGGAGGCAGCTGATCGATGTTTCTCTCCCATCGATGTTTCTAACTATCTATCTCTCTCCCTTCCTCTCTGTAAAAAATCAATAAAATATATTAAAAAAAAATACGCTAAGCACATTGGTTAGCCAACAGTGGGGTAGCTCAAAGGGTAGCCTGGCTGTGAAGGGGACACACAGTGATTTCAGGTGGTACATGGTGAAAATATGCTTTAAAATCATATATATGCATATATTTATGTGTGTATATCAGAAAATAACATACAACATGTGATGAGACACATTGATGTTAAATTTTCTTTTAAAATTCATGTAGCCCTGGCTGGGTAGCTCGGTTGGTTAGAGCATCGTCCCAGGGTTGATCCTTGGTCAGGGCACATAGAATCAACCAATGGATGCATAAGTAAGTGAAACAATATATCATTGTTTCTTTCTCTCTCTCTCCCTTCCTAATAAAATTCATGTAAATAAGGTGAGTCATTAAAACTTAAGTAGATTGTAGCACAGGGAGGAATGGGAAAAATCACAATTGTGTTATGGATATTTGAGGTTCGAAAAACACATACATTTTAAGCATTTAGAGGTAGAGGTTTCCTGGTGAGTGTCTGTTCGGGAGTCCTTTGAACTTGGGGGCAGGGGACGGGGCATACCTGCTTTCTCTTGTAGAATCCCTTGCGGTCACAGTTGGGCAGGTACACGGCACGGGGCACCATCCGAGGGCTGGCTTTGAGCTCCTGCAGGGAAGCCTCCATGTGTCTGCGGCAGGGGCCCTGTGTGCGGACAGGAGGGATGAGAGGCATGGCAGGACCAGGTGGAAAACACTACAATGTGCAGGAACACGTGCCTTGGTTCGGGTTGGGAAGGGTAGGAGGGGTTGGGGGGGCGGGGGCTCACAAAAAGTCTGTGGGAAAAGCCACCACTTTTTGTTCCAATTAGCTGCTACGCAAGACCTGTTATGCACCGGGTGTATACAGTGTGCAAAACCTGCATTTGACCAGGCACAGAGGCACATTGTCCCATCTGCTCGCTGCTCCCCACCCTCAGCTCTTCCATGCCTCTGAGTGGTGATGTCTGGAGGTGGTCCTCTGTGGATGCTCTAGGAGAATGGCCGGCATCTGCCTAGGTGAGGACACAGCCTCCAGCCGTTCACACTCCTGGCACTTGCTCTGTGCTGCGGTGGCTGGCTGGCACGTTCCCTGCATACTGCCTCTATGTACTGCCTCTACGCCTGCTCACTCAGACAAACCCTGGGTCCTGGTGAATGTAAGCTCTAAAAGCTCTCTATTGTAAGTGGCAGGTCCTGCGCTAGGTCTAGCATCTCCTGCTGCCACGAATGCTCATTTCGACGCAAGTCAGGGCGGTGGCAGAGGCTGCGGGGTGTGGATGCCGACGAAATCGTGGGGATCCTTGAGACTCACCTGCTCGGATTCCTGTCTCATCTCAGGGGCAGCGTTGGCCCGGGTCTGAGCGGTGTTCTCAGCTCCCCCCACAAACTTGGCCTGGGTCAGCTTCTTTCTGCGGTCCTTCTTCACGGCCTCGGCCTTCAGCTCAGAGATGCGGGAGTGTTTGGGGGGCCGGAAGGTCTTGGGGGCGTAGGTCTCCTCGGCCACATCAGCGGTGGTTGGATCCTCGTGCTCCTGGGATTCTCGATCTGCAGGGAGAAGGAAGCAGAGGGTCAGCTTCTGGGGCCGGGACACAGACGTGCAGAGCCCAAGACTCTGAAGCTGGTGTGGAGCCTAAATGAGAACCAGGGCGTAAGAGTCAGTGGAGGGCAGTTGC